TAATGGATGCATCTAGTTATTTCAACACCACCTCTTATCAACTTTTCAATCAGTCAATCATGATCTTTATCAATCTTTGTATCCCAGAGCCTAGCATGGTGTATGGCACATAATAGATGTTCAATAAATGTCGGAGACTGAATATACAAATGGAAAATGGCCATATATAAAAACAGAATCCTGACCCACAATCTGCCGCAATTAGTCCAAGAAACTAACCCATTATCTATCTTTACCAGCCCAGGAAGCCAGCTGACTAAAAGTCATGCCTGTAATCCCTGCCCCTTCAGGGCAGATCACCTGAAGTCAGGAGTTCGAGGCCAGCCTGGCCAACATGGTGAAACCCCGACTCTACTAAAAATACAGAAAATTAGCCAGGAGTGGTGGCATGCACCTGTAGTCCCAGCTACTCAGGAGGCTGAAACAGGAGAATTGCTTGAACCCAGGAGGCGGAGGTTGCAGTGAGCCAAGATTGTGCCACTGCAATCCAGCCTGGGTGACAAAGCAAGACTCTGTCTCAAAAAAAAAAAAAAAAAAAAAAGTCAGACTTGTGAAAAATCAGATCACTATCTCTAGCAACCAGCCCAGGAATCCAAACAATAACCCTTTCAAAAACCTGCTCGAAACAGCCAGGACTTGATTAACAACAGACAGCCATGCATCCCTAACCCATCATGTATGATGCATCACTTCTAATATTTTTTTCTTTACTCCATTTTGCGGATGAAATGATGCTCCACTTCTAGTTAGGCCACCCATGGCTTCCCCATGCCACAGCCTCCACTCAGGGCATACCCGAAGCCTTCCCTTTGTCCACTATAAAGCTTTCCTGCTCCTCTGCATGCTTTTGAGTCGCTGCCAAAATGCAAGTGATGGTGGCTGACTCACTTGTGATAGAGAGCTCTGAATAAATAGTATTTGCCTGTTTTCATTGGTTAGCTTTCATTTATTTCCACAAGTATTTGCTAATTAGATCAATCAAAAAGTAAAGATGTAGGTAGAGAAATAAGACAAGGTACCTTTCATTAGAGAATTTACACTCTAGTTGGGTACTCAGACATTAAATAAGTACACAGTTATTTATTTATTTGTTTGTTTGTTTTGAGACAGAGGCTCACTCTGTTACCCAGGCTGGAGTGCAATGGCGTGACCTCAGCTCACTGTAACCTCTGCCTCCTGGGCTCAAGTGATCACCTGCCTCAACTTCCCAAGTAGCTGGGACTACATGTGTGCACCACCACGCCTGGCTAATTTTTATATTTTTTGTAGAGATGGAGTTTCGCCACGTTGCCCAGGCTGGTCTCAAACTCCTGGGCTCAAGTGATCTGCCTGTCTCAGGCTACCAAAGTTCTGGGATTACAGGTGTGAGCCACCGTGCTCAGCCTATGCAGTTATCTTATTATAATTGGGATGTGTGTTATGAAGATCTGAGATGGTAGTTGAGATACAGGGATGAGTAAAAGGTAGTCAGGCAAAGTGGGTTGTGTAGAAAGAGAGATCTGAGCAGGAAAAACAGCATCTGCTAAGTAATGGAAGCAGGAAGAACTTGGTACCTACCAGGAACTGAAAAAGCCCAGTACCATGCAAAGGCTGTGCATCAGGTCCTGCTGACTAGTTCCCTAGAACCACTCTGGTTCTCATTTGTCCTGAAGCCCGACTGATTCTCCTTTTCTTTGGTTCTGTGAGGTCTGCCTTCATAATATTCCTCTTTTGCTTAAGTTACAAGAAGTCAGTTTGTGTTGCTTCCAAGCAAATATCTCCTATTGATAGAATTGCTCTGTTGCATCTCTTGACTTATTTTTGTTAAACTCTTTTATTATCATAAAACTTTTCATGTGTTTATGTCTTATCTATCAATTAGATAGTATGTATCTTAATGGAGCCACTAAATTTTGGGGGTGATTTGTTATACAGCACTTGTTCACACTTGAGTTCCAGGATCTATGTGATGAGATCTAGATTTTTGAGCCTGAGTTTGGTACCACAATGGGATGAGGCTTCAGGGTCTCGTAGGGTGGGTATGAGTATGGGAGGAATGTGAACTGTTCTGACCAGAGGGCAGACTGTGATAGATGGTGTTTTCCAAAGATGGTCACAAGTGTATACCCCATTCTCCATGCTCTTCTTATAGTATATCTGATACTGCTTCCACCTGGAGGTGGGAGTGTATGTTCTCACCCCTCCATTCTGGCCAGGGGCTGTGACTGTCTGACCAATGGAGTCCAGCTATATGACTTTCAAGGCTAGGTCATAAAAAGGAGGTAGATTCTGCTTGGAGCTCTCTCTCTTTCTGTTGATACTTGCCATGTTGTGAGGAAGCCCAAGCCTCATGGAGCAGTCATGTGTACATGGTACAGCCAGTTGCCCTAGCCGAAGTCTCAGTCAACAGCATCAACTGCTAGACATGGTGATACTAGCTCCCAGCCTTCAAGTTCTCCACCAGACATTGCTGAGCAGATAGAAGCCTTGCTCACTGCACCGTCTGTATTTTTCACTCAGAGAAACCATGAGAGACAATGATCATTGTGGTTTAAACTATAAAGTTTTGGAAGTGATATGTTACGAAGTAATAAATAATACATTATGTGATAATTTGGAATGTTTGTGTTTAAAATATTTCAACTGAGACACTTGAAAGCTATTAGCTTCAATCCTGGAGAAACAAAGACACATTGCAATTTCTGAAATTTATTGTGAAATGGGGCTTTTATGAATCTCATCAATCTTATCCTTAGGTTTAAGATTTTTTTCCCCTAAGGCCAGGCACAGTGGCTCACACATGTAATCCCAGCACTTTGGGAGGCTGAAGCCAGAGGATTGCTTGAGGCCAGAGTTCAAGACAGCCTGGGCAGTACAGGGAGACTGACTCAACAAAAATTAAGACACACCTGTAGTCCTAGTTTCTCAAAAGGCTGAGGCAGGAGGATCACTTGAGCCTAGGAGTTCAAGATTACAGTGAGCTATAATTGTGTCACTGCACTCCAACCTGGGCCACAGAACAAGATGTTGTCTCAAAATATATATATATATATTTTTTTTTTCTAGAAATTTATATATCTGCTACTTCATGGGAAAAAATTTTTGAAATTAAAATTAGCTTTCAGCCATAAAAAGGAATAAAGTACTGATACATAAAACAATATGGATGAACCTTGGAAACATTATGCTAAGTGAAAGAAGCCAGACACAAAAGGCCACATATTGTATAATTCCACTTACATGAAATGTCGAGAACAGGCAAATCCAGAGAGACAGAAAGTAGATTTGTGGTTTTTAGGGGCTGGAGGAAAGGGAGAATGCAGAGTGACTACTAACTAATAGGTATAAGATTTCCTTTTGGGATGATGAAAATGTCTTAGAATTAGATATGGTGATGATTGCACAACTTGGTGAATATACTAAAACCCACTGAATTGTACACTTAAGAGTCAATTTTATGGTATGTGAAAGGTATCTCGGTAAAAATTAAAATTACTAAGTTTTCTTTGATCAACTAGGAGTGAGAGAGATCCACAAATCTGTCTATACGGTCTACTGAAGATATATACATGAAGATCTTTTTTTGTGACAGTCTTGCTCTGTCTCCCAGGTGGGAGTGCTGTGGTGCAATCTCAGTTAACTGCAACCTCCACCACCCAGGCTCAAGCAATTCTTGTGTCTCAACCTCCTTAGTAGCTGAAATTTAAGGCATGTGCCACCATGCCTAGCTAATTTTTTGTATTTTTAGTAGAGACAAGGTTTCACCATGTTGGCCAGGCTGGTCTTGAACTCCTGGCCTCAAGTTGATCTAACCTTGGCCTCCCAAAGTGCTAAAGATCAATTTTGATAAGGTCATCGACAACTTTGTAAAAGTTAAGACTCAAAACAGAATTTGTAATGTTATTTTTCATCCCTGTGATCAAACAATATAAGATACGTCTTTCCTTTTTTAAAAACAAAAAGTTGGCTGGGCTCATTGGCTCACACCTGTAATCCCAGCACTTTGGGAGGCCGAGGCGAGTGGATCACTTGAAGTCAGGAGTTTGAAACTAGCCTGGACAACATGCTGAAACCCTATCTCTACTAAAAATACAAAAATTAGCCGGGCGTGGGATTACAGATGCTTTAATCCCAGCTACTTGGGAGGCTGAGGCAGGAGAATCACTTGAACCTGGGAGGCAGAGGTTGCAGTGAGCCGAGATCATGCCACTGCACTCCAGCCTGGGCAACAAAGCCAAACTCCATCTCAAAAAAAATCCCCAAAAGTATGTTAATATATTTGAAATTATTAACCCATTGCTTTTCCCTTTCTTTACTGTGTGTGCATATGTGTATATACACACAGTAATTTTGTGTGTGTGTGTATATATATATACTGTGTATACATATATACTCTATATACACACTGTGTATATACTGTGTATACATATATACTGTATGACTGTATATATATACACACACGGTGTATACTTTATATATATGTATATGTGTATACATATATACAGATGTACAGATATATATGTATACATATACATATATATGTAGTGTATCTGTGTATATGCTATATAGTATAGTATGTAGCATATTTGTGTCTATGACCTCAGGCCATCCACATGCCTCGGCCTCCCAAAGTGCTGGGATTACAGGGGTGAGCCACTGTGCCTGGCCTTTTAAAATTATTTTTAGTAGAGACAAGGCTGGCCTCTTCTCTTCTATTACATTCTCTATGGCTCCACAGACGGTCTCAGTAGGATAATATTCCAGTTGCTCAGAGTGGTGACCTGTTCTGTAGCACACCCTTGGATTGGCTTTTCTTCTTTCCAGTTTCACTTTTTCCATTCTTCTCTTTCTGTTCCTTGTGATTGATTTTCACTATAAACTACCTACATCCTGTTCTTGTCTCAGGCTCTACTTACTGGAGGAGCCAAGCCTAAGACAGATTCCTGTGTAAAATGTGATGGAATGAATTAGTAAACTTGACAAGGACCTGGCAAGCCTGGGTTCCAAATCAACTCTGTTACCTGATTTGTAAAAGTCACTTTATCTACTGAAGAGGTGGGCATTTTCATCATTATTTTCAGGTGGTACTATGGGAAAGGATCTTCAAACCGTTTGATAACTGGAAAAAAAAAGCAAGAAAAATGTTTGTCACGCGCATAAAAAGAGCATGTGTGTGTGTGTGTGTACATGTTAATAAAGGCATAGAAAATGGTGGACCATCACGGTTTACTACATATTTTTGTATAGCTTGGATTGTTTACAAGAAGAATGCATATTAGTTAGCTTTATTTAGACCTCTGGGGAAAAAGAGAAGACTGCATCTTGTGTAATTTAAAAAAGAAATAAATAACGTCCACCTCCAAGGCAGTTGAATGATGCTTGTTAAAGTGCAGAGCAGAAGCCACCAACCAAGGTAAGAAAGCCGAGCTGTGCTCCCGTATGTGCGCTAGGAGGCAGCGGAGCTAAGACCGAGGCCAGGCGGCGCAAGAAACCGCGAACCGAGGAAGGGCGGCTGGGTCTTTGTGGTCGCCAGGGGGCAGAAGTGCAGGGCAACCTAACTGCAACTACCCGCTGTTGCCCAGGCTCCAACGCCAGGCCGAACATTTCAGAAGTCATAAGTTCCATCTCTCTGCCGCAGCCGAGACAGATTGGAGGGTTTTCAGAGTCAAGGGGATGCTCCCCGCCCCCCGCCTCAGAGAAGCTTGGCACTCTGAGCAATCTCAACCACTCTCCCCTCTACGCCTTCCTTCCCTACCCCCAACACCCATGGAGGGGAAATTGAGTCACTGGGAGGAGAGGCCAGAGTCATCAGGGGAACCAGGGCCGACGCCAGCCCTCAGGGCCTTCCAGATGCTAGGAGGAGGAGGGTTCTCCAGGAAAACAAAGGGGGGTGAGAGGGGAAGGCGGTTGACTGGGCAGGAGCTGAGCCAGACACATGGAGAAACGCTGCCCAGGATCAAAGGAAATATGACATTTGAAAAGAATGTGCGCGTCTGCATGTGCTGTACGGGCAGTGAGGGGGCCCGGGGAGGGGCAGAGTCTGGGGGAACAGGGGCTGGGTCTCGGGCTCTCTATCCCTGCCTTTCTCGCCTCAGCTTCCCACCTCCCTTGTCCTCTTAGGTACAGGCTGGTTGATGGGTCGAGGTGTTCCTTGTCCTCCCTCCCCGTGTGTTTCTCCTTCCTTTATTTCCGAGATGAAGCTGGAAGGGAAGTGTAACCTGAGGAGACCAACCAAAGGAAAAAAAAAAAAAAAAAGAAGAAAATCAAACCAGGCCGCCTCCCGCTCGGCCTCGGAACATTCTTCTCTCCCCGCCGGCCTGGCCTCTTCTCCCCGCCCCTCCTGTGTTGCGGCCCTGGGCTCGGAGCCGGGGCAGCTCCGCACGTCACTGGGGTCCCCGGGGGTTGGGGGGGTCCCCTGGGCGGGCCCGAGGGAGGACCGAGGGGAGGAAGGGAAGCCGCCTCGGCTGCAGCAGAGCTCCGGCCCGTCGGGCGAGCCCTCCCTTCTTTCCCCAGTCCCGTAGAGCCTGTTTCTCATTAGAGTAACGGGCGCGGTCCCCGCCCGGCTTCTGAGTGTTTGTAAACGTCTGACCCGGGGCCGTAGCTTAACCGTTTTGTTGCTGGGATGGGGCGGGGTTGGGGGTGCGGCCCTGAACCGGAGGGATTTAGAGACTGGAGACGCTGCGGCCTCTCAGGTTTGAAACTGTGTGGGAGAAAATGATAACCACCCTCCCATCCCTCCTACCCACCAGCCTTGCCAGTATCTCCCACCGAGTCACGAATCTCCTAACTCCCTCTCACACAACCCAGGCCTCTCCAAGCCTGACTTTCCCGGAAACTCCAGTCCGGGTCTTCCTTCCTCCTCCAGCCCAGGTGACAGGTGTCCAGCCCCGGGCGGGGGCAGCGGGGGAGGGGGGAGCCCACAGGGTCCCGAGGTTTCAGGCCCCTAGTAAACCTGGCAAGGATTTTTAGAAGAGCCGGAGTGGGATGCTATCGGGTCACAGATTCATTCCAAACTACAGTTCTAGGGAGGAGGGAACCAACTTCCCGTGGAGGCCAATTCATGGCCCCTCTGGGTGGCTGGGACAAGGGCAGTGGCAAAGCCTGGCCTGGATCTACGCCCATCAAGGGCTGTGGGCCTAGGGACAGTTCTCAAAGACTCTTTGGCTGGGACTGCTCCCAGAGGCATCCAGGCTGGCTAAGGGTTCTTCATCTTTGGGGGTCGTTGAGGAATGGCTAATGGAGGCACTGATTCGGCAGGGCAAAAGACTTCCAGAAGGCCCGGGCAAAGTAGCCCCAGGCAAGGGACCTGGAAGAATAGCCTTTTCCTCTTCCGAGCAGCTCGGTGCCACTCTGCCCCAGGACCCTCCTGGCGCCAGGCTTGGAGGGAAAGGGGAGGATAAGTGGTTCCGCCTTGCTAGGTGCTATCTACACAGTCTTCAGAACTTAAAAAAGGGTCTTCCGTGGGCTCTCTACCCTGGGGGCCCAGGATGTGGCCCCTTTAAAGCTCTCGGACCCAGAACCTTGAACTGAGACTATGGGAGGTGGGGGCTGGGCTCCCTGAGGGAAATGATTGTCACAACGGCGGACCAATAGGCAACATTAGTATCACTCTTGAAGGACCGTTTTCCAATTCAGTTTTTTTTTTTTTTTTTTTTTTTGAGGGGGAGGGACTGAAGAGAAGACAGAGGGAGGGAGGGTGGGGGAGGACGAGGGGCGCGTGGTTTTCCCATCTCATCCCTGGAGGAGGGGCTGGAGCATCCCCGGCAGCCAATCAGGGACAGGCTGGGGGGGGCCGCTTTGAAGAAGTTTGGGGGAAAAAAGTTTGGAAAAGTTTCTATAATAACGAGGGGGCTTCTGCAGGGAGGCGGCAGCGACGGAGGAGGGGGCTTCTCAGAGAAAGGGAGGGAGGGAGCCACCCGGGTGAAGATACAGCAGCCTCCTGAGCTCCCCCCTCCCACCCAGGCCGGGACCTGGGGGCTCCTGCCGGATCCATGGGGGCGGCCAGCTGCGAGGATGAGGAGCTGGAATTTAAGCTGGTGTTCGGGGAGGAAAAGGAGGCCCCCCCGCTGGGCGCGGGGGGATTGGGGGAAGGTTAGTCCGGGGCTGGGAAGGGGTCTTGGGGTCAGTGAGAGGAGGGCCGGGGATCCTGAGTCTGGGGAATTTAAGGCAGCGAGCCTAGGGTGGGGGGTGAGGGAGTCAGAGGTCGAAGGGAGTCGGGGGAGCTTGTTGGCCTGCGGAAGTGAGGCTGGGGGCCCGGGCACCACTTTCTCCTTTTTAGGTCGTGACTGGGGTGGGGGTGGGGGTGCTGTTGGCTGTGCGCCGCCTCCCGGCTGGGCCGCCTGTCACTGAACTGGGGGGCGGGCGGGAACGGCGGCCCCAAGAGCACCAGGCGCCGCCAGGGAAAGGGGAGGTTCGGCGCTGGAGCTGGCGGCTGGCAGCCCGAGCCCTGGCCCGGCCGACTGGACGCCCGGGGCTGGGGGCGCTGTCAGGCCTCGCCGGGGCGCCCCTCCCCCTCCCCCGTCTGGCCGCAATGAGAGGCAGATGGCGGGGACCGAGCCGGGGGCGGCGGCTGCCGCTCGCACGAATCCGCGCTGCCCGCTGCCCCCCTTCCCCCGGCTGGGCCCGGCACGCATCACCCCCTCGGCTGCACCTCCGCCCCCGATGGCGGGGAGAGAAGGAGGAGCCACCTCCCCTCGTCACCACAGCCCTGACGCCCCCCTCCCCTCTGGCCACGGTTGCGATGGCAACTGGGGCTCCTGCCAGCGCCGTTTGGGGGTTTGGGAACCGCTGCTAATTGGGTTCATGTGTGAGTCGCCCCCAGTCCAGCCCAGTGCCTCAAGAAACACGCCTCCAGGCCCAGCCCCAGCTCCAGCCCCTCTGGACCCACCTCTCTCACCTTAAGACCCACCAGATCGGGTACCCTCGGTCCCAGGATCCAGGGGCCAGTGGGCAAAGTCCTGGCATGCCTGCTTCAATCTCCTCCATCTTCCCAGGTCCAACTCTGCTTTTGTCTTGTGGCTCAGAAGGTCTCCTTGCTGAGGGGCAGGGAGCATAGGAGGACTTGGGGCCTGGGGGCCTGGCCACTTAAGGAACCTAGCCATCTCACCTGCTTCTCTCTTTCCCCCTCTCCCTCTGCTCCTCTTCCCATTTTGACAGAACTGGACTCAGAGGATGCCCCGCCATGCTGCCGTCTGGCCTTGGGAGAGCCCCCTCCCTATGGCGCTGCACCTATCGGTATTCCCCGACCTCCACCCCCTCGACCTGGCATGCATTCGCCACCGCCGCGCCCAGCCCCCTCACCTGGTACCTGGGAGAGCCAGCCCGCCCGGTCGGTGAGGCTGGGAGGACCAGGAGGGGGTGCTGGGGGTGCTGGGGGTGGCCGTGTTCTCGAGTGTCCCAGCATCCGCATCACCTCCATCTCTCCCACGCCGGAGCCGCCGGCGGCGCTGGAGGACAACCCTGATACCTGGGGGGACGGCTCTCCTAGAGATTACCCCCCACCAGAAGGCTTTGGGGGCTACCGAGAGGCAGGGGGCCAGGGTGGGGGGGCCTTCTTCAGCCCAAGCCCTGGCAGCAGCAGCCTGTCCTCGTGGAGCTTCTTCTCCGATGCCTCTGACGAGGCAGCCCTGTATGCAGCCTGCGACGAGGTGGAGTCTGAGCTAAATGAGGCGGCCTCCCGCTTTGGCCTGGGCTCCCCGCTGCCCTCGCCCAGGGCCTCCCCTCGGCCATGGACCCCCGAAGATCCCTGGAGCCTGTATGGTCCAAGCCCCGGAGGCCGAGGGCCAGAGGATAACTGGCTACTCCTCAGTGCTCCTGGGCCCACCCCAGCCTCCCCCCGACCTGCCTCTCCATGTGGCAAGCGGCGCTATTCCAGCTCGGGAACCCCATCTTCAGCCTCTCCAGCTCTGTCCCGCCGTGGCAGCCTGGGGGAAGAGGGGTCTGAGCCACCTCCACCACCCCCATTGCCTCTGGCCCGGGATCCTGGCTCCCCTGGTCCCTTTGACTATGTGGGGGCCCCACCAGCTGAGAGCATCCCTCAGAAGACACGGCGGACTTCCAGCGAGCAGGCGGTGGCTCTGCCTCGGTCTGAGGAGCCTGCCCCATGCAATGGGAAGCTGCCCTTGGGAGCAGAGGAGTCTGTGGCTCCTCCAGGAGGTCCCCGGAAGGAGGTGGCTGGCATGGACTACCTGGCAGTGCCCTCCCCACTCGCTTGGTCCAAGGCCCGGATTGGGGGACACAGCCCTATCTTCAGGTGAGGGTTGCGCCTGGCACCACCGCTCTCTCCAGCCATTCCACTAGGGGAGCAGGAGGGTCAAGGGAGGGATTTTAAGACATTAGTTTCATGCCCCCTGAATTTCAAAAGAGAATCTGCAACCAGCTTAGCAGCTGCCAACTACCTGGTTTTAAAGAGAATTAGAAAAAAAGTGCACCTCTTGATGATTTACAAAAGGGCAACAGTTCCTTGTGGGCCAATTAGAAAAAGCCCCTCTACCCTCCCACCCCCAGCTATTGTAGGAGGATCAACTAGGTTAAGGAGGTGTTCCTGTAGCCTATAGAGTGCTCCCAAGACCCAGCTCTGCACTGGCATGTGGTTGAGTGTGGAACTTGGGCTGGATTTCAGCCTTCCACTCTGGCCCTTTCAATAGGTGCCAGACCTAAGCAGATTTCCACTCTGTTGCAGGAAATTCCCTTTCTCCATTCCTCAATTTCTAGAGCCTGACCTAGCGGCTTAAAAGTATAGCTGCTAACTTGAATAAAATAGCAGATATTTGCAAGTCAAATAATTCATATTAAAACTTGCAGTTCTATTCCTTCCACTCTCAGAGAATCTTGCCCATTTCAATAATCCTAAATCTTGAGCTGGTTCTGTCCAGAAACGTTTCTAGGGGAAAGAAACGTTAACACTGGGACCCCTGGGTTTCCCATAGGGCAAAGTTTCTCAACCTCAGCTCTATTAATTCAGCACTACTATTTTGAGCAGGATAATTCTTTGTTGTGTGGGGGTGTACTGGACATTATAGGATGGTTTAGCAGCATCCCTGGCCTCTACCCATTAGATACTAGTAGCACCCACTCCCCTAGTTGGGAAAACCAAAAATGTCTTCAGACATTGCCAAATATCTGGGCAATTACTTGGGGGGCAATTACCAGTTGAGATCCACTGTCCTAGGGTATCGGGGAGCACAATACAGGATAAGTTGTCCCATCTGAAACCCTTAGCTCCCTGGAACTCCACCTATCAAGCCCCAACTAGTGGAAAGAGAGCTGGCTTGGGAGCAGAATGTACTCAGTCCTAGGTCTGTCAGTAGCTGCTGGCTTCGGTTTCTTTTCTTTTTTTTTTTTTTTTTTCTTTGAGACAGTGTCTTGCTCTGTCACCAAGACTGGAGTGCAGTGGTGTGATCTCAGCCTCGACCTCCTGGGCTCAAGTGATCCTCCTGCCTCAGCAGGAGTAGCTGGGACTACAGGAGCACCAACACGCCCGGCTACTTTTTGCATTTTTTGTAGAGACGGGGTTTCACTATGTTGCCCAGGCTGGTCTCAAACTCCTGGGCTCAAACCATCTTCACAGTGCCCCCACCCCTGCCTTGACTTCCCAAAGTGCTGGGATTATAGGTGTGAGCCAATGTGCCTCAATTTTTTAATTTGTAAAACAAAGGGTTCCTATCTGAGTCCTTTTCTGGTCTGAAGCAGCAATTCTTTGTTCTTTCCATCCAGGACTAGGGATTGAGATGGGCTTGAGAATTCTTGGTATCCAAGTGAAGCCTTCCCACCCCAACCCCTGGGCTCAGAGCTGGGAAGAAGGGAGTTTTAGGCCTGTTGTCACCTTTCACACTTCAAGGGGCTCTGTCCCCTACTTCCCCTTGCTTCTGGACTTTTGGATTTCTTCATTTCTTTGTCCTTTTTATAGTTTTAAAAAAATTCTTTTTTTCCCTTTTTTTCACAAATGTTGATGTAATTCTTTATTTCTTCTGTGCTTTCTTTTCTCTCAGACCCACACCCCCTCCTCCCTCACAGATCCAGTGTGGGCCTGACTGGGGTCTGAGGCTGCACATGATCAATGCTCTTCTCTTCCACCCAGGACCTCTGCCCTACCCCCACTGGACTGGCCTCTGCCCAGCCAATATGAGCAGCTGGAGCTGAGGATCGAGGTACAGCCTAGAGCCCACCACCGGGCCCACTATGAGACAGAAGGCAGCCGTGGAGCTGTCAAAGCTGCCCCTGGCGGTCACCCCGTAGTCAAGGTAAAGGACAGAGAGCAGGCCTGATATCCTTTCTCCTCTCCCAGATGGGTTCCAGCTATGCAGACACATGGCACTGCCCTTTCCCACACTCCCTCTCAGTTCTGACCCTGCAGGCAGCCTGGGGGAGGGGCTGGAGTTGGGGGAGGAGGGGTGCAAGGACCCGGATATACTTTCTACTCCTCTGTCCTTCCACCCCCACTCAGCTCATCCCATGGGACACCAGCCTCATGTCTACTCTGGAAAATGGTGGCCTGCCAGATATGGGGGAGGGTTTAGGCTGAGGCCAAAAGTCACTGGGAGTTAAGTTTTCTCTATATTGAGTTGGGCCAGTCTCTTTGGAGGCTCTTCTGCCTTTGCCCAGCCCACTTTGGGCTTTATTCCAAGAAAAACACTGTGAACTCCAGGCCATGTTTTCTCCACAACGGGTGCCCAGTTCCCCAAGGGATTCCCTTGCAGGATATCCTTTATCTTTCACCATTCTCATCCCATGGTGGACTGAAAATCTAGGGATGAATAAAGGGTGAGGTGGTAGGGATTTCAATGAAGTGGCCCCTCTCTCCCTCTGCCAGCTCCTAGGCTACAGTGAGAAGCCACTGACCCTACAGATGTTCATCGGCACTGCAGATGAAAGGAACCTGCGGCCTCATGCCTTCTATCAGGTGCACCGTATCACAGGCAAGATGGTGGCCACAGCCAGCTATGAAGCCGTAGTCAGTGGCACCAAGGTGTTGGAGATGACTCTGCTGCCTGAGAACAACATGGCGGCCAAGTAAGTCCCATGCAACTTCCCCTCAGTCTGCAGGCTTTATACTAGCTTTCTCCATTGGGCCTATGCTAGCCCACTTCTTCCTTTTCCAAGAAGAGGTAGACCTTATTCCTAGGAGCTGGCTTCAGGCCTACCCACCATCTGGAAGAGGACTTTTGGGGATGCGGGGGTACCCCAGAGAGGCCGTCTGTGGGTTAGAAAATAACCTCGTAGGCACTCATCGAAAGTCATTCAGGGCTTTGGATGGAGGGCGGGAACTTCCCTCTTTAGGGATGTATCACCATTCTGGCTTCAGCTAGGAGGGCTTGCCATCCATCCTTTGCCTCCAGCATTGACTGTGCGGGAATCTTGAAGCTTCGGAATTCAGACATTGAGCTTCGGAAGGGTGAGACGGACATCGGGCGCAAAAACACACGTGTGCGACTGGTGTTCCGGGTACACGTGCCCCAGGGCGGCGGGAAGGTCGTCTCGGTACAGGCAGCGTCGGTGCCCATCGAGTGCTGTGAGCAAAGAGGCCCTGGGCCATCTCTCTGTCTCTTGCAACTCTTGTCTGCGTGTGTGTGTCTGTCTGCCCATTCCCTCTGTAGCGTCCTGTGCCCTGTCTGTCCTGAGTAGCTCTATAGAGGACTCAGGCTTTATTTCTATGCTAGTTTGCCCCTGCCACAGACTCTGTCTCTGGGGTGGCCCAGAGTGACCCTGGACCCTATCTGTTCCTGGGGTGCCCTGTACCCTTGTTTGGGAAACTCCCTGGTCTACTCTGTTTAACCCTCTCTCTGCTCTGGGAGTGGCCCCTTACATGGTGTGTGTGACTCCATGGATATTACTGGTTTATTTGTGTGTCTACTGCTGAGGAGGGCTCCCTCAGAACCCTGTGGCAGTTTTTCCAAAGTGGGTGGGGGTAGAGGAGGCCACCTCTCCATGCCCAGCCCAGACAGTCCTCTTCCTTGCACTGCTCTGCAGCCCAGCGCTCAGCTCAGGAGCTGCCCCAGGTGGAGGCCTACAGCCCTAGTGCCTGCTCTGTGAGAGGAGGCGAGGAACTAGTACTGACTGGCTCCAACTTCCTGCCAGACTCCAAGGTGGTGTTCATTGAGAGGGGTCCTGGTGAGTACCTGCTGCAGAGGGGAGGGCAGGCAGGGAGAGCTTGGGAGTGGCAGGTGAAATATCTCTGGCATTGTCACTAAACTAGCCAGTGGAGCCTCAGTTTTTTTTATTTGTAAAATGGGACAGAGACTACCCTTTCTATTATACTGTCTGCTTTCCATGTGGGATGCGTATGACAACAATCTAAAATATTGAGCATGCTGAACAAATGGAAGCGATGCACATTCTGTCTATTAAAGAGGAGGCTCCTTCGAGATAATTTATCCCATGTAGATAGGCTCCCCGCTGGGCCTCTCTTGAGTTATGGGCAGTGATTAACAGAGCCTGTTAGGTGCCCTGAGATGGAGCTGCAGGAGTGGAGGAAGGGAAGACTGAGGGTTCGAGTTGCTAGCACCAACCTGAGGCCTTTGCCCTCTCCAAACACTGCTCACCAAAAGCCTCAGTCCCTATATCCTAATTTTTTTTTTTTTTTTTTTTTTTTTTGTAGCAGGGTCTCACTTTGTCACCCAGGGGAGTGCAGTGATGCAATCACGGCTCACTGCAGCCTCAACCTCCTGGACTCAAGCAATCCTCCAAAAATATTTTGTGTAGAGATAGTGTCTCCCCATGTTGCCCAGGCTGGTCTCAAACTCCTGGACTCAAGTGATCTTTCCACCTTGGCCTCCCAAGGTGGGAGTGGTGGGTGGTGGGATTTATAGGCATGAGCCACTACATCTGGCCCCTATATCCAAATTTAGCATCCTAGGACCATGTCAGAGCTTCTCTAGAGATTCTGGGTCATGATACTTGAGGGTCTCATTGCCTTCTGTCAAGCTAGGACCCTTTCCTACCTTTAGTCTTCCTTCTTGGCATTATCATGGGAGAGGATGTTTGGAGTTGGGTGGGAGGGCTCAAGAGTTGCTTCCGTTACTGACTCCCTCTGGTTTCTGGGCTGGTCCTGCCATTTCCCTTGGTCTCAGTTTGCTTCCCTGTACCTTGAGGACAGTTTAAAACCCTACCTCTTCCACTCACATTAAGTTAACACGCAGTGGGCTCCTCTGTGTGTCAGATCTTCTAGGGCCTTCTGAATTTGGCCTTGGCTCTAACAGGAGGGGAAATGGCAGAGAACTAGGGCAGGGGGCAGGGGCGCTGGAGTTGGGCTGCAGCTCTCTGTTCCCTCTGGACAGATGGGAAGCTGCAATGGGAGGAGGAGGCCACGGTGAACCGACTGCAGAGCAATGAGGTACCAGTGTCACTAGGATACCTCCCGGGGGGGCGGGGTGGGAGAAGGCAGGGGATTCTCAGCTGGGTCCTCTTGCTCATGGGAGTGGACTTTTCTGGAGAAGGTAGACTGGCCATTCTGTAAGCAGGTGCATCTCTAGGGAATGAACTTTGCATCTTAGGAAATGGAGAAAACTAGGAGGTGGAGTCTGGGTCCCTGGAAAGGCTGGGCTAAGCCCAGATGCCTGAGGGCTCCCTGCCTCATTTTTACTCTTCCCTAGGTGACGCTGACCCTGACTGTCCCTGAGTACAGCAACAAGAGGGTGTCCCGGCCAGTTCAGGTCTACTTTTATGTCTCCAATGGGCGGAGGAAACGCAGTCCTACCCAGAGTTTCAAGTTTCTGCCTGGTGCGCTCTGGGACAGCCTATGGTGGGGGTATAGGGATATGGGGAGCTGGAGCAGGGGCAGAGGGAAGCAGTGTCCATCATGAGGGGCCAAGGGGTGAATGGAACCTGGGAGGAGCAGGCACCTGGAAGGTGTGCAGTGTGGAGACTACCAGACCTCTCACCAGCATGTCCTCCCACTTCTTGTCTTCCCAGTGATCTGCAAAGAGGAGCCTCTACCAGACTCATCTCTGCGGGGCTTCCCTTCAGCATCGGCACCCCCCTTTGGCACTGACATGGACTTCTCACCACCCAGGCCCCCCTACCCCTCCTTTCCCCATGAAGACCCTGCTTACGAAACTCCTTACCTATCAGAAGGCTTCGGCTATGGCATGCCCCCTCTGTACCCCCAGACGGGGCCCCCACCATCCTACAGACCGGGCCTGCGGATGTTCCCTGAGACTAGGGGTACCACAGGTTGTGCCCAACCACCTCCAGTCTCCTTCCTTCCCCGCCCCTTCCCTAGTGACCCCTATGGAGGGCGGGGCTCCTCTTTTCCCCTGGGGCTGCCATTCTCTCCTCCAGCCCCCTTTCGGCCTCCTCTTCCTGCATCCCCACCGCTTGAAGTCCCCTTCCCTTCCCAGAGTGATGTGCATCCCCTACCTGCTGAGGGATACAATAAGGTAGGGCCAGGCTATGGCCCTGGGGAGGGGGCTCCGGAGCAGGAGAAATCCAGGGGTGGCTACAGCAGCGGCTTCCGAGACAGTGTCCCTATCCAGGGTATCACGCTGGAGGAAGGTGGGTGTGGGACTGGGGGCTGTGAGTATGAGTGTGTGCAAGAGATTGCTGTGCATGTTTGCTGAGGGCTGGAGCTGGGCTTTTCAGAGATTGGGCATCCCTGGTCTCTCAGGGCCAGTTAGAGGTTCCCAGGTGGCATGCTCTTGATTCCTATGGCTGCCTGAATCCAATTAACTGAATTCTGAAGGGTGCATGGGGTAACTGTCTCAGCCTTTCTTCTGCCTCTGCCTCTGCCCTCTGCTCCAAATCATAAAATCTTAGAGCTAGAAGCACTTTCAAGATCATTCTATCCAGCTCACTCAATTTGCAAGTTCAGGCACTGAGTTCCAGAGAGGGATGGTAGCTTGCTGAGGTCCCAGTCAAACACACTTGCATTGCCTCAGCTTTCCCCTAAACACGGTGTCTGTGGTCAGGGTTGGTGAGGAGGAGCTTTCCTGTTTTGCCTCTCCTTCCTCCCGTTGGCTATACCCATCTCTGGCCCTGCTGATACCGATTCCCCTGACATTTCAGGCTAAGCCAGCAGGAAAGGGCTAGGACAGGCGCCTGGGAGCCCACATGGAGGGAGTTGGGCAAGATTTGATTCGGAGCAGGTGTCAAGACACGTTGGGGAAACTGAGGCCCAGTGGAAGAGAAGCCAGTAGAGGAGGAATCTAGAGGCCTCCTAGATTAAGGCCTGCCTGGAATGGATTGGGGGTGGGTCTTTGGAAAAGGAGGGGACCCACCTCTAGCCCAGTCTCTCAACTGCCCCTCCTTTACAGTGAGTGAGATCATTGGCCGAGACCTGAGTGGCTTCCCTGCACCTCCTGGAGACGAGCCTCCTGCTTGAACCACCTGAACTGTCATCACACGGCAACCCCAGCCCCAGCCTCAGCCCTGCCCCCTTTCCCTCCTTCCTGGAGTGGTGGCTACAGAAGCTTGGGGCCAATCCTGGCTCCTCTTTCCCCAGCTTCTGTTTATCTCACTGTCTTCCCTCCCCTCCCCCAGCTGAGGTGTGGCCCCCAGGCCTGGTGCTGCCTTGGAGGGCTGGGGGAAGTAGCTGTGGAGGAGGGAGGAGGGTGGAGACTGAGGCTAGGTGCCAGAATGGACTGGAGTGAAGGCATGTCTAGAGTGTGGGCAGGCTGTTGTGCTGGGAAGCTGGGGACACGTTGATGGTAATAAACTGCTCAATGACCAGTGTTTTAGGCTTCAGAGCTCTTTGGAGAGACGGGTTGGGGCAGCTTACTCCAGCCCCGGGCCAAGGAGGCCCAGAAGTTGGAAAGAGACGGAATGTGGCTGGGAACATTGCATCCCAAAGAGCTCAGTGGAGGAGGCTGGGGAAGGCATGAGGGGGCTAGGAGGCTCCTTGACTGGGGCCAGGATTGGGGGCCAGGGCTTGAGTAGGCCTCTCCACTCTCCTCCTTGGGGGTCAAGATTCCTTAGGAGCTTTGGGATGGGGCCCAGGAGGCTGCATTTTTCAAGCTCCTTAGTCTTGCCACCACACAGATGATTCTGATCCATAGCCAAGAAGAGGACACACTGATGTAGTTGATCTCTCTCATTTACAAAGGAGGATTCTAAGATTCAGAGAGGGAAAGGGACTTGCCTGAGGTCACGCAGATAATCAGCAGCATGTTGAACTGCACTCCTGGGCTCCTGTCCCCTGCCCCCATTCAGACACGCTGACTCAGGAGGTCCAGGCCTCTAAGGCTTCTCTCCCTGGAGTGAGGGTGGAGGTGAGGGAGAGCTAGCACAAGCTCTCCCTCTGGATCCTCTACTCCTGGGGATTATGAAGACATTCTGGAAAGATTTGTGCTTCAGAGGTAGACTGCAGAAAGCAAACAGTCTACCCAGCAGCTCTGAATGTCACCTGCCCTGGGAATCACAGCACTGTATGAGTTCCTGGCCTATCCTGCAAATATACCCATGCTGGCCTTCTAAATAGCTGGTACATCCATCACCTCTGACGGGCCTGGGCTGGAAACCTGGTTTGTCCCCTGTCTCGATGGCCTACGAGAGGCCAAGTCCCATTGGGCTGGGGAAAGTCACTTTGTCTGTCTTGTTCACCTGGAGCCTGACACACAGTAGGTACTGAGTACAAATAGCTTGAGTTGGCTAGGCTTGGCTGCAGGGGGACATGCCTAAAAGACATTCAGGGCGTTTGCACTTGGGAAACTTGCCTCACTTTCAGGCTGGTGGGGCCTCTCTATGCCCAATGAGTCCAGGCAGTCCTAGCAAGTACTCAGGAGAGCAGGGGTGGGTGTGACAGAGGCTGGCTGTGGATTGGGGGACAACAGAACCAGAGTAACTCCTCACCTGTTGCTGCTTTGCAATGAATTTCCTTTACCTTCATGGAACACAAGCTGCTGTGAACCAAATTGACATCAAGTGATTAGCTTCCGGGCCTTGGTTGCTTTTCAAAGATCCCCTTTAGCCCCTTGCCAGAGTCATTGTCCCATAATCACCATGTCAGAAGGAACCCTAGGGCACTCATGTCCTATTTAGCAATCTTCAGCACCACCTCTAAGATCTCTGACAGAGGGTGGGTCAGCCTCTGTGTAAACAAAAAGCTGTTAGGACTTGTTGCCTCTCAAGGTGGACTGTTCTGTTTTCTGCCAGGACACTGCCATTCATGCATTGTCAAGATATTTATTAAACAGCTGCAAAGTGCCAGCCAGTGGGTCCTGGAGGAATTTGTAGCCTCATGGGGCAAAAGTAAATAAACAGCTCATAACAATTCAAACTAAATATTTTTTGCAGAGAGTACATTAGACCTTGAGGAGTCGGTGAACAATGTGTGTGTGTGTGTGTGTGTGTGTGTGTGTGTGTGTGTATGTGTGTGTGTGTGTGAGAGAGAGAGAGAGAGAGATGGGGTCTTGCTCTAGTGTCCAGGCTGGAGTGCAGTGGCAGGATCTCAGCTCATTGCAGCCTCAAATTGCTGGGCTCAAGTTATCCTCTGGCATTAGCCTCCCGAAGTGCTGGGATTATAGGCATGAACCACTGTGCCTGCCTTCAGTGAACAACTTTTTTCTTTCTCTGCTTGCTCCTTCATCCACCACCCCCCTCCCGGGTAGTGGACTGCCTACCAAGGCACACAACCCCATGTCACTCCGTCCCACAGTGAACAATTTAAATATGAGATGTAGAGGGAACAGAGGAGAGGCATTCCGCCCAGCTGTGGGGGTTACAGGGAACTTCAGGGGGTGACTTCTAAACTGGGACCTGAAGAATGACTAGTAATTAACCAAGCTAAGAATAGGGGAAGGGCAGGCCAGACAGACAGACCAGAAGAGGCAAAGTCCTGGAGGGGAGCGGCAAGTAAGAAAGACAGACAGATCTCCAGGGCCTGGTATACCTGGAGAACTCCGAAAGGTTCCCCTTCAAGGGTGGGAAGGCAGGTGAAGTTCTGGAAGTCAGGGGCTATAAGAAGGGATTGCAGAGGGAAGCCAGGCTGAATTCTGAAGGATCTTATAGCCTGCCAGGGTATTTAGAGTTTTCTAAGGATGATGGGCATTCTCCCACTAGACTGTAGGCCTTCAGCTGTGAGTGATGTAATAGATTTGCCATAAAGTTCTTCCTCACCTTGAGCTCCCATCTGCTTCCTTGTGACCGCTCTGTAAGGGGCTCGTTATGCCCTCTGGGCCCACATTCTTTAGGCCTAACCCCTCTTCTCTTTGGAATCCTGATGTGGGTAGGCCTCCTGGTGCCTTTGCGTGTACTCACTCTGAGACTGGGGTCATTGTCTCCTCCCAGGCTCTCTACAGACATGTAGCTTCCTGGGGCTGTAGTTAGGAGAGAGAAGAACGAGGCTGGGTCTCCAGGTGGTGTCAGAAAAGACCTTCTTGGCCCAGGTCTGAGGATTACTTGTGTTTGAACCACTAAGGAGGTTTTTGTTTTTGTTTTGTTTTTAATACAGATTCCTAAGCAACCCTTAACCTATTTGGGAGGGAGGACTGGACCCAGGTATCTGTGTATTAAAGAATACCTTCGATGATTCTTCAGCACAGGAAAGTTCAAGTACTAGAGTCACCTGCCAATTGTCATTCCTTCCCATTCCAGATTCCAAAATAGCCCACTGCCCCGATGTCTAAATCTTGTCTAGGCTGCCCTGGGTAGAGAGTCACCTGGTGAAGAGGAGGAGACAGACACACACAGTCCTCACATTGCAGTTCATCCTTCCCCTCACCTGGCTCTGTCCTGCTAGTCAGAGAATGTGAGGACAGTCTCAGGCACAGCCTGCAGTCCTGGTACAGGAGCATCTCTGCCCTCCGAACTTACTGAGTCTCCTTCTTTGGCTGGAACTCTGGGCCTCCACGATGCTTGGGGAGTGGCGTGTTTCGTAGCTTTCCGTTGGGGTTTGGGATCTGCTTGGATTGAGTTCTGTGATGCCTTGGAACCCACTGCTGGACTTTCTAAATTGTCATGGAGAGGAACTCCTGGAAATTCCAGATGCAGAAAGTGCACAGGGGTTTGGCTGCTTTTATGGGAGCCTGTTTTAATAGCCTCAGTGTCTTGATTGTTCACGTAGCCAAATCCCCACAAAGTGCTGCAGGGCCCCTGCTCTGTGCCAAGCCCTGTGCTAGGCTCCAGGGACATGCATCTCACTGCAGCCTTGACCTGAAGGAGCAGACAATCTCGTCACTAATGAGAGAGACCTTCCTGCCTAGAGATTGAGGTGAACAGAGCAATGAGTAATGGTGGGGAAGTCCCTGCGGCTTTGGGATGTCAGAGAAAGGGCACTGAGTCTGTCCTCTCTCGCTGCTTGTGTATCTCTTGTAGTAACAGTAGACAATTACATTTTGAGATAACCCATGAGTCCATCCCTTATGGTGGGAACATTACATTCTCTGAAAGGAACATATGTTCCCAATGTCCATTCTACTGGAATAAAGAGTGTCTGAGTCAGGAAATGGGGATTTGTTACTGAGGCCTTGGGCAGAGTTAGAGGAAGCATCTCTCTGTACTTCTCTCTCCTGGACCTGAACCCTGAGGGCACTAGTTAGGCCAGGCTGTTCCCAAGTAGCCCCCACCTTGGTGAGGCAGAATCCTGGCAGGGCCGGGAGCCAAGGGCCAAGGGGCAAGGAGGCAGCTTCATTGCTGGGTGGCACTCCACTTTTATGCTCCTCTGAGCAATTCCTTTCAGTTCTTCCTGGATCTCTTACTTTCCTAGGGCTGCTGAACCAAAGCATCACAAACTGGGTGGCATAAAACGACCGAAATTTATCGTCTCACAGTTCAGGAGGCCAGCAGACTGAAATCGAGCTGTTGGCAGGGTTGGTTTCTTCTGCAGGCCCTGAGGGAGGATCTGTTCCATGCCTGTCTTTTAGTCCCTGATGGTTGCTGGCAGGCTTTGATGTTCCTCGGCTTGTCGAAGCATCACTCCAATCTTGGCCTCTGTTGTAACATGGCTGTTCCCTATGGCTCTCTGTGTCTCTGTGTCCAAATAAACCTCCTTTCTCTTATAAAAGACACTGATCATTGGATTTAGGGCCCACCCTAATCTACTCTGAGCTCATCTTAATTTGAATACATCTGGAAAGACCATGTTTCCAAATAATGTCATATTTACAGGTACTGGAGCTTAGGACTTGAACATATCTCTTCTGGGGATATGTTTGGGAATTCTGGGGACCCAATTCAATTCCCTACACTGGGTTTCCTGCAAAGTTTTGTCAGTCATTATGATCTCAGTTTTGCTATGGAAGGTTAAGTAAAAGTGCCCGTGTTTGGGTCAATCCAAGTGGTGAAGGGGAGAATATTGTCTTCTGATTCCAGCTTGGTGGATGCAGCCATAATTCATGGGATTCCCAGGACAAAGGTGACTTTTGAAGGAGGAAAAAGTAGGAATTTCCGGCCCAAATCCTCAAGAGATTCTTCCTGTCCTGCTGCCCTTAGACAGTCTTGGTGTTATTTTATTTGGGATGCTGGCCAATTGTAGGTTTACTTACAACTACATTTCCAAACTGGAAAGAGTTAATAAGATGAAAAAGAAGTAAGTCATTATATGAGGATGGGATTCTCCATGAGTATTGTATATTAAAAGCTCTGAGGAGTCCTCTGAGAAATCCCTTTAGCTGTTTAATCCAGTGTTTCCCAAACTTATTTAATCATGATGCTCTTTTCTGTAGGACAGTACTGTGTCCGTTAATTACTCCCATGTAACACATTACCCCAAAAACACAGTGGCTTAAAACAACAAT